CGAACAGGTTGCACAACTACTTCTCTCTTCTTTTGGGCAGATGACTAGGCCATTCGCCATGGAAACAATGCCTAGCCGCCCTGAGCTGTTTAATATCCAAGGATTTAGTATTTCTCTGACTTTGTTTGCAAACAGAAAAAACAAATATGGGCAGGGGACTGAACCATTCACAGTAGAAACAATGTTCAGCTTGCCCAAACTATTTCCATTAATACTTTGTATTTCCCTTTTTCTCTTCTTAATGATATGGCTTAACGCTGGACCATTCACAGTAGAAACAATGCCCAGTTGCCAGTTCACATGCAAATATACATAAAACACTTCCCCTTTATACTCAGTTTAACTTATGTGTGTGGTTTTCAGGCTAAACCATTCACCATGGAAACAATGCTTAGCCTTAGACCAGAAATTCTCCCTCAGAATAAACAAGAACTTAAACTCCTTCAATCAGGCAAACCCCCAGAGTTAACTAGAGCAACCAGGTCATTTACCATGGAAACAATGCCTGGTTCCCCAGAAAACAACTAAATAAACACAGCAACCAGGCCATTCACCTTGGAAACAATGCCTGGTCCTTCAGAAAACAGTCAAATAAAACACAGCCCTGAGTCATTCACCATGGAAACAATGCTCAGGCTTTGGTTGACCCAGTCAAACACATGCAGTCTACCTTCCTCCCATCTTCCCCCCAGTTCATCCCTTCGTCTGCTTTCAATCAGAACAAAAATAGAAACTTAGGGTTCACTCTCACACATTCTTTCCAGTTAGTCTGATTAGGTCCTGAAGAGAACGCAAAAACCATAGGGACAAACGCATGCATACAACAATCATACTGCAGGAAGATAAGCAAACATGTGTAGTAGTAGGTTGTACGGATGAAGATGATTTACCTGAAAGTTCCCTGCCTCCAGAACCTCGCCTAGGTTCCGGCAGAGCTCCCGCAATCGGTGGGTGGACTCCCCACAGAGTCTTGACGCGGACCTACGGGTTGCAATCCCGCCTGCCGCCTTCCTCTCAGAACCAATAGACTAGAGTTAGAGTAAGGGAGGCAGGAAGAGAAGGGTTTGAGTCTCTCAGATCCAAGAACGGTGCCCTCAATCTCGCAGGAGAGGGCCTTGAAACCTTGATTCGCCTGAGGGCCCCGCAATGATGGCCAAACCGGCAGCGACTCTGTCAATCCGACGTCAAACTGCAAATGCCGACTCCCCTGACGAACTCCCAAGTCGCAGTGACAACCTCCTTCCCATCTACTCTTTCAAGTTGTAACAGCAGCCTTCCCCACAATCCGACTACCAACCTCACACTACACCTCCACTCTCCAAAGATGCAGTCGTATGGCTCTCAAAACAGTCGCTGCCCAAAGCAGCGCAGCAAACCTGCCGCATTCTCAACAACTATTGTGGTAGAAGAACATGGTTGAAGCGGACAGCAGAGCGCACAGCAGCAGAACAGTAAGCTCGAAGCAGCCTGTAGCAAGCTTTGCGCCAGCTGTTGTTGAAAGTGCGGCCGAGGCAATTGGCGGGACACACAGCAGTCAACAACCCACAAATCGTACCAACATACTGAAGCTACACTAGCTCACTCACCTGGCCTGAGCTAAGAAGCCTGATGGGTGGCGCAACCCTGCTGGGTGGCAGCAATACCACGTCCCCCGCTGCACCGTGTACACTCCCTCTCCTGCTGTGGCATTGGGTGTATCCCCTACCCAAATAAGCCGCCAACAACTAACTGTTGCGCAGCGAATCCTGAAAGCAACACACTTATACTCTTCTGTATAATACGGCCTGCCCCCACACCTGCGGCGGGCACAGACGGCACGGGCAGCGGATGAGCAGCACGACAGTGAAGTAGCACAGCACAAGGCGACTTCAACAGCCCAGTCACACCCCACAAAGAACAGCATGCAAGGCAAGCGGGATACTAGCAGCAAGACAACAGCGGGGCCTAGACGAGGACGCCCACACATCCAACACGGAGCGAAGCAGCACGCGACCTACCCAGACCATGATTGAACCCCACAGACTGTTGGTTCCTACCACCCCCCCCCGAACCAGGTGGCTACCCCGACAACTCCTGCCATTATCTACAGGGCAACAGCGACATCCCGAACTGGACGGTCCCCACCTCGATGTACCTGGCCCACTCTAGCCGTCAGGTGAGTGTCCCCCTCGCTGCTGTTCTCTTTCTCTGTTGCATCTACTATCGACCCTCCCGCACTGTCACAACTTCAAAGAAACACAATGATCAAGGGTTGAATGAATCTTTCGCAAAAATGCGACTAGATTCAGTCAGTTTTACAAAGCTGTTTTCCTTCCCCACGTGCAGCTGCTTCTCTCGCTAACCCCCTATCTACTAATTCACTGACCAAATTAACTGCAAAATCGGGTTCGCAACCCCCAAAAACCTCATAATCGAATTCTCCCTCGTCCGTTTTCATCGAGAAACGGACGAGATACTCGTCTTTCTCCTTTTTCCTTTTTCTCTCCTCGCCATA